TATTTATAAATAAATTTTAATTTGTTAAATAATAAATATTAATTACTTTAACAATTAAATTAAAATAAAATTTTGATAATTTTTAGTGACCACGATAAATTTAATATTCGCTATAACATTTCCCATTTAAGAAGTTGTATTAAAATTAGAGTTTTTCTAATTGTGTTCTTATGATTTAGGTTATATATATATTATTACAAATATATATAAAAAAATAAAATTTGATATTAATTTTAATAATACTATTAAGTAAATAAATGTAATTAACTAATTAATAAATTAAAATTTAATTTTGATTTTTCAAATACAAATTTATTAAAAAAAAAAACTATATTTTATAAACTCTTACACACTACCGCATGTTTGAGAAAACCTTGGAATTATAGGAACAAGAGAAGAACAGATCTCGATAATATCCTAGCACATTGTAAATATAAAATCCCGTAGTAAGAAATTATAAAAAAGAAAATTAAGATTAAGAATAGTTAATGAACATTGTATATGTAGATCGTTGATTCGAAGATCACCACCTTCCTGTACTTTTCCTCAGCTCAAGACAACGTTCAAGCTTTATTTAACCCGGTTGCTGCCCTGGCTGGCTCCTCACACCAGTATCTACTTCTCTGTCTCTCAAAAATGGTTTGTGCTTGCAGTCCCTCTTGGTGTCTCTAAAGCATAATGGCTGAACTCGTTCTCAACTTCATCACCCCTCTCACAGAGAACGCAATTTCCATAGCGTTTTCAATATCCGCTCGTGAACAAATCAGCCAGGCATGGGGTTTGGATAATGAACTAGGGGAGCTTGCTCAGACGCTTACTATGATTCAAGGATTGCTCCAAGTTGCTGAAGAGAGAGGCAGAAAATTGCCAAATTAAGTACCACAACAATCCTTCTCCGAGCTTTACAATTTTGCAAACATTTAAAATCAATTTTCTTAAGAAGCTTCCTGATGATGGAGAGAATTTGATCAGCTTGAGGCGCATATACTCTGGTATTAGATTTGGCGTACCACATATATCTATTCAACAGTTAACTTCCCTGCAAACATTTTTAGAATTTCGTGTGGGCATAAAAAAGGGTTGTGGAGCATTAAAGAACTTGGATGCTTAACCCAACTAAAAGGAAAACTGGCAATTTTTCATCTTGATTTTGTAAGATCCGAATTGGAAGCCTCTAAAGCAAACTTGAAAGAAAAAAATCTATACAAATTGGAATTTACTTGGAATGAAGACAGAGAAAGCAACATCAATGATGAAGAGGTTATAGAAAGTCTTGAACCTCACTCAAATTTGAAAACCTTAACTCTTCAGAACTACCGAGGAAAGAACTTTCCATCGTGGTTGGTGAGAAGTGTCATTTGTTCTGCAGGTTCTTTAATTCTTCTTAACAACTTGGTGGAGTTGAAATTATTACGTTGCTATGAATGCACGTTTAATCCAACTTTGGGATTATTGCCTAGTTTGAAGGTTCTTGACATTGAAGATATGCCATAGGTAAGAAGAATGGGTCACAACTTTATGTGAGCAGTCAATCCAATGGAGTAGAATCAATCATATTGTTTCCAGCTTTGAAAATACTCAGCATGATTGGCATGAAAAGGCTAAAGGAATAGGTTGAGGTTGATGAGGGAGCAATGACGGGGCAAAGTTGAGATCGTTTTTCCTTGCCTTGAGAAGTTGCTTATTTTTGAAAGTCTAGAGTTGAAGACTTGGTGGATGGGTGGATTTTCATCCCATCATGAGCTCTCTAATTTGGAAATATTGTCTTGTCGGAATCTAATGGCTATCCCAAACATAGATGTGATGTCATCTCTTAAAAGATTAAAGCTTAAGAACTACAATGGATTAACAAGTCTAGTAAGTGGGCTAGCATCTTACATTTCACTTCAGGAATTATATATTTCCAAGTTGCCCAATCTAATTCCTATTCCAGAAGATGTCTAAAGATTGCATTCTCTTACTTCTTTGACTATTCAATATTGTGAAAAATTGAGAATATAGGAGTTCCTAGTTTGCCTCACAATTGGCTTTAAGGAGAGCCTGGATCCATTTTGTCATGTCTCGGAGGAATTTCCATTCCCAAGACTCAATTCTAATGCTTCCCTTGAATCTTTAACATTGAAGGGATGGGATAAATTAAAGTCTCTGACACATGAGCTTCAACATCTCACTGCCCTCAGGACATTGGGAATATACTCATTCAATGAAATGAAAGCTTTGCTAGAATGGTTGGGAAAACTCTCCTCTTTGGTGGCTGGCGATTTTTTATTGTCTTAATTTGAGGTGTCTGCCTCCTCTTGAAGCCATAGGATGCCTCTCCAACTTAAAATTTCTTTGTGCTTGAAATTGTCCTAATTTAAAGGAAAGATGCGCCAACAAAATCGGCCCTGAATGGTCCAAGATTTGCCACATTCCCAATATCAGAATAGA